GTCCAAAAAAAAAAAAAAAAACTTCTGCAGAATAGAATAGCATATTTAATAACACATGAAAAGGGTTTAAATGGTTTAAGTATAACTTTTCTATATAACGCATGACAATTACATATAGATTGTAATTACAGCACTATAAATGCACAGTACAGTACACATTATATATACTGGATGGGACGGGACAAAACCGCACAAAATATGTAAAAACAAATAATAATAATAATAATAATAATAATAATAAAAGGAGAGAGGCTTAAATAAAAAAAAATGTGGACAAACGTAAGCCTTAAGTTCAACATGCCAACTTATAGACAGGTGAATTGCTATTAAAAATCATTAAATTACTATTACATATTTAACATTTATATTTTTAAAAATGTTTTAATCATTATTAAATATTTAAGATATTTATTATTTACTAAGTATAAGGTAAAAATAATTAACAAACAAATAAATAAATCGTATTTGATCTAGGTATTGACTGGTTTTTTGATGTTCACATACTGTATGAATATATTCATAATACTAAGATGTTGTATTGATTGCAGGCTTTATTGTGGCCTGTTGGTAAGATGTTGTTGTTCAAGTGTGTTTTTGAAGTCAATAATATGTGTGAATGTTTTTCCCCTAACAATGTGTTCCAGTTTTTTTTCCCTTGTTAGCTTGTATGTGCTTTTATACCACACACACACACAGACATTAGCTTTCAGAACAGAATGGCTCTGCAGAATCGAACAAGGAGGTGTTGACTGACTCCACACTTCCTTGATTTGTCTGAGGAAGATCATGTCTGAAATGCCTTCTAGATGAGATAGTCTAGAACAACAGGTATAGGTGCCTAAGAATCATAAGTAGTCTGTTATGGCAGTTTATTGGCTGTTGATGGAGACAGGGAGTTTGAGGTCTGTAAGTGCCTGAAGAATAAAGTGACCTCAAAAAGGTTATTCATGGCGTATTGTTAGCACATCAGGTGATTGCTTTATCCACTTCTAGCTGATATTGTGCTGTATTTTCAGGAATTGTGCTGTAGAGTTGGATATGACTGAAATCTTATATCACAGTATGAGTGATTTTATATCACAGTGTCCATGTATGCAATGCGGTTCAAAGGTTTGCAGTCAATACTTTTGAAAAGTATCATCAAGCCTAACATTTGATCAAAAATACAATAAGAACAGTAATATTGTGTAAGATTATTGCAATTTGAAATTACATTTTAAAATATATATTTTAAAATGTAATTTATTCCAGCCACAGTGATGGCAAAGTTTTATTTTCAGCAGCCATTACTCCAGTCTTCAGTGTGAGATGATCCTTCAGAAATCATTCTAATATGCAGATTTGGTGACAACAAACATTTATTATTATTATCAATGCTGAAAACAGTTGTGTTGCTTAATATTTCTCTGGACAAATACCATTATAAATGACTTTATTGGCACTTTTGAACAATTTAATGCATCTTTGCAAAAAAACAAACAAACAAAAAAAAACAATTATTTCCAAAAAAAAAAACTACTGACTCCAAACATTTGAAGAGTAGTGTGTATATATGTATTTATCATTTAATAGATTTATTCATTATAAACCATTATGTTTAGCATCAGTGCAAAAACGACTTCATGTTATAAAACATCTTATGTAAAAAAACAAAAACCATCTTAAATATGTACCGTGGGCTAAATAGTTTAGGTCATGAATAGTAAAATCGACTGACACATTTTGACTATCAGGTGGTATATATTGTTATACCATCATTCAGCCAGTGTTGCTCTGCTTTGAAGTTAAAGGGGTCATATGATGCGATTTCAAGTTTTCCTTTCCTAGCGTATTTGTGAACAAGAAAATGTAAAGTGAAAGTGAAGTGACATGTCATACTCAGAATTTGTGCTCTGCATTTAACCCATCCAAGTGCACACACACAGTAGTGAACACACACACACACTGTGAACACACACCCGGAGCAGTGAGCAGCCAGTGCTGCGGCACCCGGGGAGCAGTTGGGGGTTCTGTGCCTTGCTCAAGGTTCTCACCTCAGTCATGGTATTGAAGGTGGAAGAGAGCGCTGTACATTCACTCCCCCCACCTACAATCCCTGCCGGACCTGAGACTCGAACCCGCAACCTTCTCTCTAACCATTAGGCCATGACATGAAAGGTTCGCCACTCAGTTGACACAAAGTGCCAAGTGAGCACAGAGTATAAGTGGGGGGAGTACAGAGCCTTATGGCACACTTTTGTTGATGGCCAGAAGGTGGGAGGTGAACTTCATCTCCCTTGTAGAAAATCGAGCAGCTGCCAGCACTTGGCTAGCTCAGTGCCCATATTTCTGTTTAAGAAGGTGGATGATATTGAAAACAGAAGTGAAGTCAAAGAACAGGACGCATGCTTAGGTGTTTAATGTCTCCGGGTGATGTAATGTGCGGTGTGTCGAAGATGCCGGGTCAATGGCAACCTCCATCAATATACATGAGTGTGTGGCTGTTTTCAAATGCAAACTCAACTTTGAGATTTCAAAGACGATCCTGAGGGTAAATGTGGTTCTTCTGCCAAAGGTTGTTCAATAGGAGGCGTATATAATAATATAAAATATTAACTTATTAAATAATTCAGATGAGGCTTTTGAATGCCAAATAAATTGGTTAACAGTCATTCAGATTTCTCTTGGTTTGTTTTCTTGTGTATTGGGATATACTTGTTTTGTATTTTACCCATAGCGTCTTTATGGTATGATATATTTACTATGGCTGATGCTCAGAGACATTACACATATTCATGTTTTTGTAGGATTTTCAGCTGTGGAACTTGCTTTAATGTGTGAGATACAGCATATATTCTGTCTATGGTTGCTAATAAGTTTTCCTCTGCTTTGTTTTTGAAGGTATGGGCTGTTTGAGAAGCAGCTCACACTCCTTGAGGAGGCCGAAGGAGGCTTTGATCAGTTCACACGCAGCTATAAGAGTTACGGAGTACAGCGGATGCCAGACAACAGCCTCGTCTTTAAGGAGTGGGCCCCAGCCGCCGAGGCTCTGTTCCTCACTGGAGACTTCAGTACGTCTTTTCTCATTCTAAGGCCCTTTCCCTAAGCCATAGGCGCTTGCCATCTTCCCGTCGGGTAGTACTGCAGCATTTTTTGTTAGATCTCGAATCCCATTAAAATTAGGCTGAAGTTAAGAAGCTAAAGTTCAGCTAAATGGCTCATTGCCCATTCCACATTTAAATATATTTAGTAAAATTAGAATGTAAAATACAAGTATAATCAATAATGATTATTTTAATGTAAAAAATAAATAATAATAATAATTATGTTGCTATATGTTTAGAATGCAACACTCACTGTTATATAATATATAAATAGTAAGATTAAATAATTGAATTTATTTTTGATGGATAAATTACAAATATTTAATTTATTATACAAGTAAACGTCTCTGCACATGAATAATGATTATTATAATGGCTTAAAATAAAGCTATACTGTAATACTCATAAAATGCAACACAATTTTATTTAGAATGTAAGGCAAAATATTTGATTTATTTCCAAATGTATAAAAATAAAACATAATATGCAAGACATTAATTATTAATTATTATTTTAATGGATTAAAATATTAAGCCGTACAGTACTATAACTTAAAATGCAACCGTTTTAATGTAAATAATAAAGCAAAATATTTCAGATTTTGTTTATTTAGTAACATATAAAATGTATAAGTGTAATACTTTGTTCATTAATAATGATGATTTTAATGGCTTAAAACATTGATATACTGTACTACACTTTCAATGCAACAGTTTTATGTAAATAATCAGGTCAAATATTTTACCTATTTTGTATATTCAGTAAAATTAAATATAATCTACAATACACAACATTTTAATGGATTACAATATTAAGCTATATGTACTACACTTAAAATGCATCAGTTTTACGTAAACACCAAGGGACAATATTTGACTTATTTTCAGATGCTGTATGTTGAGTAAAATTTAAATGTATAAGACTTTAATTAATTTAATGTCGTAAAATAGTAAGACATACTGTACTATGCTTAAAATGCAAGACAGTTTTATGTAAATAATAAGGTAACACATTTGATTTATTTTTAATATTTTGTGTTGTGCAAATAGTGGAGTGTTATATAAAAGGTGTTGTCAACAACTTTTCAGCTTTGTCACAATTCATAATTCAGAAAGTTTTGTTATTGTACTGATATTTTGTTCCTTTTCAGAATTCATAAATCATACAAGAGTTAGTCTGCCTATTCATCTATATCTTATATCAATTTGTAGTTGACTGTTTGTTCTCTTTGACAGATCATTTTTTCATCGTAAACCAGATGAAAGAACATTGTGTTCAGGTTAAGACAAAACGAAGAATCCCTTCAAGGTTATCTGAATTGCCTACAAGACCAAATGTAGTCAGTCAGTCAGTCAGTCAGTCAGTCAGTCACTAAGGGCCTTTCTTTTAAAATTTTTTGTTTGTCAAAAGTCTGGCATAATGATTTCTCACTAAGAAAGTGCATGCTTTGAAGGCATTTGCTTGTCTTTTCTAGTCATTAGAAAGTACAAGGTTTGTTCTTAAAGAAGTAATGAGCCAGACTTTACAGACTGCATGCCAAATTCTGTAGTCTTTGATCACATGGCAGAACTTACATTGTTTTTGAATAAACAAATGGTTGTTTGTAATTTTATCAGAGAGAATGCAAATTAGGCAACAGATAGATAAGCATCACTATGACTGTTTCTCAGGATTTGAACAAACTGCTAACACTAATTATTAAAATTCGGCATACAGTGCGTGAAAGACATGAATTATAACTCAAATCATGCAGATTGTCGAAGAGTGTAAAATTATCCCGTTGAATCTGCAGTAAAAAAAAAAAAAACGGCAGCTGTGGTAAAAAATTCACAGACATACTGGTACCTGTATATTTTACAACTTCGAAAATGATGTAATGTTAATATATCAAACGTGATTTACCGAATTGCCATACAATGTGATAACCAGCATAATAATACACAGGTTGTAAAATAGAAAACAAAGACAAGACAAAACACGATCAGGGTAACACGATACTACAATAATGCACAAAAACATTATCACAAAGCACCCAATATACATTACGGATAACATACATATTAAATATAATGAAATAAATAATATGTCCTTTGACTCCTTTTACTGTTTTCAATTGTAAATTATATGGTAATCAATGTTATGTATTCACATAAACTAACAGTGTTTTACTATGAAAATAATTATAATGCTCTGTTAAACCAATTTACAGTTTTTCACCTTATATGCTAAGGGAACTTATAGTTGTTTCTCTCTCTCTCTCTGTTATGATGCACTTTTTTATCCCTCTGGTGCACCTTGTGTGGTGGTCAAATACCTTGTGTTTATGGTATTACATTTTTATGAAATAATTAATAACCACTTTTTGAGCATAAACCTGAAAATGTCCAACTTCTATAGCTTTATTATTTTTCTTTATTATTGCTTAATTATTATTTTTCTTTATTATTAATCTGCCAAGTGTCTTCTTTAAAGGTGGGGTAAGTGATTTCTGATAGCCAATGTTGATATTTCAAATCACCAAAACAAACACGCCCCTATGGGGTCTCGCCCCTATTTTGATAGCTCCGCCCCACGCATACATATGCAACCCAGGCAACGATTATGGCGGAATCTGCTGTATGCTGTATTAAATATATTATCTTACTTTTCGGACACACTTTGGGAGCTGATGCTTGAAACAGACAGTGGAGGAGGTTTAGACGCTCCAGGCTTATAGGGTGTGGAAATGAATGTGTCTTTATCATAGCTGAAGGGAACGACAATACGATTATAGATGAACAAACAAGCGAACATGACACACGAGCATATTCAAGCAAAAGCCAGCATATATTAGTTCTGTGAAACAAAGCAAAACCAATGTTACTCACCTAT